AAAATGCAGATTGGTGGTAGCGCTAGTCTAGGCTTATCTATGTCTGACTCTACAGACAATATTGATCATGAAAAATCATTTTCATCAACATCGGATAATTCAATATCTTTTAAACAAAAAACTGAAGATATTTTACATTCAATTGGATTTCGTGCAATGATATTTTTTCAAATATTAGCATATGGATCATATTCTGTATTAGTACATTTATGTGAAAAAGATGGTGCTGTTGCATTTTCATCAACAACAATGAATTTTATTCTTGAATTTGTTAAATTAATCTTTTCATTTTGTGCTTTATTTTATTTTACATCTATTAATATAAATATTTATCCAAGTAAAATACAAATTATATCTTGGTTTAGACAATCATTACCATATTCAATACCAGGCATTCTATATTTTATTAATAATAATTTAGCTGTACATATGCAAGTTCAAATGGATCCAGCATCATATCAAATTTTATCAAATTTTAAAATATTAACAACAGCTATTTTATATAGACTTATTATTAAACATAAGCTAACAAGACAACAATGGTTTGCACTTTCATTACTGTTTTTTGGTGGATTGGCTTACAGTTTTGGTATTTACTGTTTTTTATTTTTGAATGTTTAAGAAAAGAAAAGAAAAGAATAAGAATCGATATGAGTTTCAGTTTGGAATGAAGCAGTTGTTCAATAATATTTTTCTGTGACGATAAGATAAGAAAGATCTCAAAAAGATCTCTCAATATTTGCTTTTTGTGTCGGTGAAAATTGACGAGGAAAGAAATGGAAATTTAATGCTTTGTAATAAGCGTGTTTAAATATTAGCTAATACTCTCACAGTTTATTCTTAATCAACTATAATCTTTAGTTGTTAATATTCGTAAAGTGAAATTTATTCCGCAAACTAGCAAGTGATCTTCAATTTAAGAAAAGAAAAAGCTTATCTAAATAATCCAAGTCATTAGATAGTTTTCATGGCCTATAATGCTGAATTGATATGACAATCTTAATTATCCTTCCGAAAGAAAGGTGGCGATTTTCCATCTTATTCTCTTACGAGAGAACGTTTTCCACTGATCAATCGCTCTTGACCACAAGCTGATCAGTTGTCAGTTATCGACAAGAATGATTCCAAATATGACTATTAGAAACCTCATCAGGTTTTTATATGTATATTCTCTGTAAAAAAGATTTTACAGAGTAAGAAAAATTTTTGCCAAAATCATTGTTGATCGACCATATCAAAATATCTGTAAGTCAGTAATTTCCTCTGTTTTCCAAAAATGAATTTTCAAGTAAAATAACATGATCTTAAAGATTTTCACTTGAAAATGTTGATCTATATCTGTTTTTTGATATGTTTCGTTCTTCTAAAAAAACTAACATATGAAGAGCAGAAGGCTTTTCGAATGATCATATTTGGAATTAACATGATCGATTGCTTAAAATCTACAAACTTTTGGTGAGAAACAGATTGCTTAGCGTAAAGTTTATCCTCGTTAGTCACAGACTAAACTTTTTGGATAACATTTTCTCTCAACTTCTTATATCATTACAAAGTTCAGCATTTGAACAACGTAGTATTGATTGTTTTCATATTTAGGTACATTGAAAAATTCCTCATTTGTTTCGAAAAAAATAACAAGCAATTCTATCATTATTCCTCAAATGTATATTCGTCCATTGGGTATACCTATGATTGCAATTTATTGTACATTTAGTGGTTTAGCTGGTGTTTATAATGAATGGATTCTAAAAAAACATTATAGTGAATCTCTTCATCTTCAAAATATCTTTCTTTATTCATATGGAACTATTCTTAATTTATTTCCAGCTATTTTATCAGCTACAATCAAATCTCAAACACTAAATTTTTTTAATCCATTTCATGGATTTTCATTATATACATGGTTAATTGTAATAACACAAGCATTAAATGGTTTATTTATGTCTGTTGTAATAAAACATTCATCAAATATAATTCGATTATTTGTTATTTCATTTTCTTTGATTGTAACATCCGTTTTATCCTTATTTATTTTTCATATTAGCTTTAATATTTATTTCTTTATTTCATTTATAACAATGATTTGTTCTCTTTCACTTTATTATTCAAATTAAATAATTCTTCTTATGAAAATGCTTTTTTTCTTCTTTGCCGAAATAACTCGAGGTAGTTGATTTGTATCAAATATAATCTTTATATGTTGCAGATTTTGTACGATGAGATTGAATACTTGGAGAATACTAAAGACAAGCAAGGTGTCGATATACTAATCTCGAATGCATAAATTTATGAACGCAAGAAAGACGAGAAAGAGAGCTATTGATAAGCATTCATTCTTTGTATGAACGGTCCGGTGATGTTTGTCAAATTTCAAGTTTGGTTTGATAGAGATCATGAGTATTTTTGGTCAATAGTAATATATATTCTAGTCATTAGTGATCGACTATATTGTTATATTATTGCTAAAGCATTACTTGTCAAAATTACTGAGGATTCCGTATCTATTTTAGCGGAGGAAGTTGTATAAATTTAGAGTGTAGACAACACGTTCACTCCATGGTATGTCATTCCAAAACAAACAGTTTGATAAAGCACTGAAACTTAACCATTGCGAGGCTATTAGCAAAAGATTCTATTAATGACCATAACAACAATGTGCGAAAAAACTTTATCGCAGCTACTTTTTTTTGACATGATCGAATGCTATGGAACTTGATTTTTCCATCTTTAGATCTAACTGTGTTAATTTTGCACTGAGAATTTCACTATCTTTGTTTTTTTCTTTGTGAGGATACAACTCAACCAAGACGAAAAAGGTCAAGTTTGTCTTGTTAGTCTAGATCGGCATAGCATCAATAAGTTTCTTTCTATATTTGTACAAGTCTTGTATTTGCTTTCAGTTAAATCGAATTGAATTCAATTTCTGTTGGATGATAACTTATGTGTTACTCTTAAGATACGACAAGGATAAAAATAAAAATAAAAATGCGATCGAAACTTATGAAACAATTTCTATAGAAATCTTATGATTATTTGTTGTAAATGACCGATAAATCAAAATTATAAAGTCAAAAAAAAAACAACATTCCATGAATATATACACAGGCAAATCTATGTTTATCATTAAATTTTTTCTAGTTGCATTGCAAAATCCCATAACATCACATTCGTATAAATTGCTCACGTGATAGAACCTTTCATTGCTTTATTAATTGCTTTTTCTTCTCAGCGCTCATTTTCAAAACTATGTCACTAAATTTTAT